GTTCCAGAGGCCAAACAATTATATGTAGATATTAGGGAGGGAATTTGGGGAGTGCTCATTTTATTTTTTAAATTAAGCTTTTTATTTTGAGATCATTGTAGATTCACATGCAGTTGTAAGAGAAAATATAGAGATATACCTTGCACCCCTTACTCAATTTCTCCAATGACAGCATTTTGCAAAACTATATTACAATATTACAGCTAGGATATTAACATTGTTACAGGATACAGTCAAGAGTCATAACATTTCTATCATCATAAGGATTACTCGTGTTATTCTTTTATAACCACACTCACTTCTTTCCTTTCCCTACTCCTTCCTTAACCCCTGGCAAGCAATAATATGTTCCCTATTTCCAAATTATATCATCTGAAGAATGTTATATAAATGGAGTTATACCATATGTAACCTTTGGATGTTGGCTTTTCTCAATCAGCATGAGTCCTTAGAAATTCTCCCAAGTTGGTTTATGTACCAATAGTTGGCTCCTTTTTATTGGTGTGTTATATTCCATGGTATAGATGTACCAGAATCTGCTTAATTACACCCATTGAAAGACATCTACGTTGTTTCTAGTTTGGGCTATTATGAAAAAGCTGCTATGGGTATTTGTTTAGAAGTTTTTAAGTGGCAATAAGTTTTTGTTTCTCTGGGATAAATGCCCAGATGTGTCATTGCTGGGTCATTTGGTAGTTGTATGTTTTATGTCTTAAGAAACTACCAAACTATTACATAAAATAGTGGCTGTACTGTTTTACATTCTCACAAGCAAGGTATGAATGATTCTGTTTCCATGCACCCTTGCCAACATTTGGTGTTTTCACAATATTTTCTATTTTAGCCTTTGTAATAGATATGTAATGACATCTCATTGTGGTTTTAATTTACATATTTCCAATGATTAATAATGTTGAACATTTTTTCATGTGTGTAACTGATATCCATATATCCTCTTCAGTGAATTATCTGTCTTGCCCATTTTCTAATTGAAGCGTGTAGTTTTGTTTGTTTGTTTTTACTATTGAGTTTTTAAATTTTTATTTATTTATTTATGGCTGTGTTGGGTCTTAGTTTCTGTGCAAGGGCTTTCTCTAGTTGCGGCGAGTGGGGGCCACTCTTCATCATGGTGCATGGGCCTCTCACTGTCGTGGCCTCTCTTGTTGTGGAGCACAAGCTCCAGATACACAGGATCAGTAGTTGTGGCTCATGGGCCTAGTTGCTCCGCGACATGTGGGATCTTCCCAGACCAGGGCTCAAACCCGTGTCCCTTGCATTGGCATGCAGATTAACAACGACTGTGCCACCAGGGAAGCCCTTACTATTGAGGTTTGAGAGTTCTTTATATATTCTAGATACCAATGTTTTGTCAGATACGTGGTTCGCAAATATATTCCCTAGCCTGTAGCTTGTTTTTTCATCCTCTTTACATGGTCTTTCATGGGGCAAAATTTTCTATTTTGATGAGGTTAATTTTATCAATTTTTTATTTTATAGTTCAAGCTTTTGGTGTCAGTTCTAAGAACTTCTTTGCCTAGACCTAAATCCTGATAATCTTCTCCTACTGTTTTCTAAAATTTTGCAGCTTTAAATTTAAGTTCATTATCTATTTTGAGTTAATTTTTATAGGGTGTAAAATTAGGTTGAGATTATTTTTACTTTTGGCCTGTGGAAGCCCAATTGCTTCAGTGCCATTTGTTTAAAAGGCATCCTTCCTCCACTGAATTGCTTTTGTACCTTTGTGAAAAATCAGTTGGGCATATTTGTGTAGGTCTGTTTTTGGTTTCTCTATTCTGTTCCATTGATCTAACATGTCTATCCCTCTACGAACACCAAACTGTCTTGGTTATTGTAGCTATATAATTAGTTTTCAAATCAGGGTAGACTTATTATTCAAACTTTATTCTATTTCAAGTTTATTTTAGTTATTCTGGGGTACTCATTTGATTTTGAGCTGGCCCTAAAGCCTCTGGAGATTGGGACTGTACTCATGGCCCTAGGGAGCTCCATGATGACAAACTGAAATGGGTTGATGAACCAGGAATTAGCAACCAACTCTCAAGAAGTTATATATCAATTCTTAAAAACAATGCAGTGTAAAAAGGCAAATGTAAAGTGAAAAGGCCTCCCTTGGAGCTAGGCTCTGTCCTCTCTGCTTTTCTTCCAGCCAGGCTTCCCCTTCTCCAGAAGAGTAGACTGAGTTAATAAGGTCCCATGGCATTACAGATTGTGTTGGAATCTGTATTAAGTCTGAACTAGAGAAATCCTAACAACAATGCTCCCTATCACTTCCAGGAAGGGGTTATTGGAAGGATTAAGAAAGCTGGCTTTCTCAGGTATCTGAGAGAACCCCCTTCTTGCTCTTCCTATGTATATGATAAAACTATTGAACTACTAAGCTGTACAATCACTTCTACATGTGTAGTGCCCTTGAGTCTCAAAATATATCACTTACCACAGCCCTGGACTAGGAGAGCCTTGAAAACTCGAAATAGAAATAAGGGAATCAATTTTTAGGAATTCTGTGAAGTTTGAGACTAGATAAGTTTCTTTGAAGACTTCAGGATTGCTATTAAACATGGAAAGCTGTTTAGGTGAACCATTGTTTAAATATTGGGAGACAAGAGAGGACATGCAAGGGATAGCCTTGAGACAAGGCAGAGAAGGAACCTGACACAAAGGTTTGGTATGAGCGAGTAGGACTCTTTTCTAGTTCGTTGCTTTGTGCATGTTCCTCTGCTTTATGGTTTCTCAGTGAAAAGATAAGCCAGTCTCAGATAGACTTGAGGGAACTTGGGCTGAAGTAAAGGAACACCATCCCATCATGAAGGTTAGTGTGGTAGGGACAGTGGAGGAATTCAGAGTGAGAGAAGCTCAGAAGGTGAGAGCCTCCAGGTAACAGAGGTGGGCCAGTAGGACAGTAACCACTTTGTAACCTGAGGACTGTCCAGGTGGCTGGGGCTCATATCTCTAAGGAAGAAGCACATTCTCTCAAAGGATTCTACTATTCATACAGATCATAGACTTACTGTTATGAACTCCAGATTACTTTCTAAACTGTCATGTTTTCATGCCTAAGAAGTTAGAAGTGGTTGCCTTTAATTCCCTATCTAAAGTGAATCATATTTCCATGATGAGGGAAAGTGCCAGTGAGGGCCTCCCAAGAGTAAGAAGCAACAAACAGTTAGAAGGAAGGCCATGTCTAGCCAGAGGCCCAAGCCAGGTACACTCCTCAATTGGAAATCAGATCTTCACAGGCACTCAGCCTCCTCAATGAAAAGGAACCTCATTAGGAATAATTAAGGGTGCTTTATGTGGCTGCTAGAATTTCAGGCAACTTGAATCTGATCATTTTATATGGTGACTCATTCTGAACCAAACAGCCCTTTAAAAGAGCACAAGGGAGGACCTAGGGAAAGTGAAGTCTCATTAAGAGTCATGTACCAAAATGTTCATTGCAGCTCTATTTACAATAGCCCAGAGATGGAAACAACCTAAGTGCCCATCATCAGATGAATGGATAAAGAAGATGTGGCACATATATACAATGGAATATTACTCAGCCATAAAAAGAAATGAAATTGAGCTATTTGTAATGAGGTGGATAGACCTAGAGTCTGTCATACAGAGTGAAGTAAGTCAGAAAGAGAAAGACAAATACTGTATGCTAACACATATATATGGAATTTAAGAAAAAAAATGTCATGAAGAACCTAGGGGTAAGACAGGAATAAAGACACAGACCTACTGGAGAACGGACTTGAGGATATGGGGGCGGGGAAGGGTGAGCTGTGACAAAGCGAGAAAGAGGCATGGACATATATACACTACCAAACGTAAGGTAGATAGCTAGTGGGAAGCAGCCGCATAGCACAGGGAGATCAGCTCGGTGCTTTGTGACCGTCTGGAGGGATAGGGAGGGTGGGATGGAGGGAGATGCAAGAGGGAAGAGATATGGGAACATATGTATATGTATAACTGATTCACTTTGTTATAAAGCAGAAACTAACACACCATTGTAAAGCAATTATACCCCAATAAAGATGTTAAAAAAAAAAAAGATTGCCTACCCTGGGGACAATGATAGTGGCTGTCAGTAATAGAAAGAGCTGTCAGTAATTGAGGCAAGACAGAAAAGTGAGCTGTGCTTTCCCATCATGGAGGATCATCAGAACCCTGAGATGGAGAGGAGAGATCAGAGGACTTGGAGTCAAGCTGACTTAAGTTCAGAGTCACTTTATCCCAAAGATCCTCAGTTTCTTCATCTGGACAATGGGGCTAATAATGCCTACTTTTTCAGGGGTACCATAAAAATGAAATGAAGGAACTTATATAGAATGACTGGTACTGAATAAGTTCTCGAAAAAAGGAAGGGATAGTTCCTAGCTTTTGTTTAATTAAGCATTTTAATTTTTTCTAGTTCAGGAAAATGAGAAAATAAAGCTTCATTTCATATTCAGATTGATCCCCAAGGTATTTTTCTTTTTTAAATACTTTATGGTTCAAAAAGAGAATAACTATCTGAATCTTCTGTCTAGGTTCAGTTTGAAGTTGTCCATTCTGATTTGGGGTTCCTGATTTCACAAATGCTCCCAAACCAATGAAAGAATTGTTATGCACATTACCCTAATATATTTATACATATTAATAAATTCTACAAATTTACTATTGTCCAACTGTTTCTAAATTGTTAGTAAAGTTTAGTTTCTTCTTTTATTTAAGTGAAAATAAAGGAAACAGAGGTTCTATTTTTACCTGTACCCAATGTGCTATCTTTGGACATGACTGCCTTAAATTATTCACTCCTAAACCTTAAGTCTTTTAAGACCATTTGCCAACTGTCATCAGGGACACCTGGGTATCTGGTCATTTCCCACCACCCCAAGTGAACTTTAGCATGGAAACAAGCCTAGGAATATGCAAGCACATAGCCTATGGCTTCTCAGTCTCACAACGAGAGTGGGTGAGGTCAGGGAGTTTGTAGTTAAAGGCAGTTTTACCTTTTTGTTTCGGGACTTTTCTCACAGTCATTGCAGCCTGCCTCTTCTGATTTTCAGAAATTTCAAAGCCTATAACATAAAAAATACATGACTTTGTTATGAGAAACATAGACCTTTCTTAAATGTATAAATTAGTACAACTTTTCTGGAAGAGTAATTTTGCCAAGATATATCAAAAGTTTTGAAAAGCAAAAAAAGGAAAGTGGTCAGAAACTTGGACAAAGACTTACAACAATGCATTTCAATGTATAGAGGGGCAAAAAAGTGAGATCATGAGTTAAGAGGCTGTTAAATGGAGAATGGTTGAATAAAATATAGTATAAAGTGGAAAAATATTTCACAACCAAAAGCAAAAACACAAAGAAAAGGAAAAAAAATGAGTCAAAGATAAGTGATTACAACAGAAAATGTATATAGACTTAATGAAACTTTCAGGAGAAAAAAAAATTGAATGGCAAAAAGTAAGTAATTAATGAAATAACCAAGATGTCTGTGCAAGTTCTTTGTGAATTTTTTAATTGAGTTACTTGGTTTTTGGCTAATTGAGTTGTAGGAGATCCTTATATATTTTGGAAATTATCAGATATATGGTTTGCAAATATTTTCTCCCATTTAATAGGTTGTCTTTTTGTTCTGTTGTTTCTTTCCTTTGCTGTGCATAAGCTTTTTCATTGTATGTAGTCCCACTTGTCTATTTTTGCTTTGCTGTCCATGTTTTTGGTGTCATATCCAAGAAATCATTGCCAAAGAACAATGTCAAGAAGTATTTCTCCAATGTTTTCTTCTAGTATTTTTACAGTCTCCAATCATATGTTTAAGCCTTCAGTTCACTTTGAACTGATTTTCATGTATGGTATAAGGTAGGAGTTCAATTTCATTCTTTTGCATGTGGATATCCAGTTTTCACAACACCATTCATTGGAAAACTATCCTTTCCCAATTGTGTATTCTTGGGACCCTTGTTGAAGATATGTTGAATATATACATGTAGGTTTATTTCTGAGCTCCCTATCCTATTCCATTGGTCTATATGTCTGTCTTTATGCCAGCACCATACTGTTTTAATTACTGTAGCTTTGTAATATATTTAGAATCAGTAATTGTGATGCCTCCAGCTTTGTTCTTCTCTCTCATGGGTGTATTGTGGATCCCTGTGAATTTTAGGATTGTCCTTTTTTTCAGTTTCTGTAAAAAATGTCATTGGAGTTTTAATAGGATCATATTGAGTCTACAGATGGCTTTCAGTAAAATGGATATTTTATCAACATTGTCTTCTGTTCCATGAACACAGAATGCCTATTTATTTGTGTCTTCTTTAATTTCTTTCAGCAATATTTTGTAGTTTTCCATGTACCAGTCTTTTACCTCCTTGGTTAAGTTTATTCCTAAGTATTATATTCTTTCTGATGCAACTGTAAATGGGATTGTTTGCTTAATTTCTTTTTCAGAGAGGTTGTTGTTAGTGTATAGAAACACAACTTCTTTTTTGTGTTGACTTTGTATCCTACTAATTTACTGAATTCATTTATTAGATGTAAGAGCTTTTGGTGGAGTCTTTAGGGTTTTCTATACATGAGATGATGTCATCTGGAAACAGGAATAATTTTACTTCTTCCTTCCTGATTTGGAGGCATTAATTAATTATTTAAGCCTAATTGCTCTAGCTAGGACTTCCACTACTATTTTGACTAGAAGTGTTGAAACTGGGCATCCTTCTTGTACCTGATCTTAGAGAAAAAGATTTCAGCTTCTCCTCATTAACTATGATGTTAGCTGTGAGCCTTCCATACATGGCCTTTATTATGTTGAGGTAAATTCCTTCTATACCTTGATAGTTTTTATCATAAAAGGGTGTTGAATTGTGTCAAATGATTTTTCTGCCTCTATAAAGATGATCGTGTGATTTTTTTCCTTCATTTTGTTAGTGTGGTGTATCACATTAATTGATTTTCATATATTGAACAATCCTTGTATCCCAGGGATAAATCCCACTTGGTCATGGTGTATGATCCTTTTATTGTACTGTTGAATTTTGTTTACTAGTGTTTTATTGAGGATATTCCCATGTATTTTGTTAGGGATATTGGCCTGCAGTTTACTTTTCTTGTAGTGGAAGTCTTAATGTTGTTAAATGCCCATTCACACCCAAAGTCATCTACAGATTCAATGCAATCCAATCAAAACCCCAATGGCACTTTTTTTAAAGAAACAGAAAAATCAATCCTAGAATTCATGTGGAAACACAAAAGACCCATAATAGCTAAAGCAATCTTGAGGGAGAAGAACAAAGCTGGAGGCATCACAATTCCTGTTTCAAAATATACTATGAAGCTACAGTAATTAAAACAGTATGGTGCTGGCATAAAGACAGACATATAGACCAATTGAACATGAGGGAGAGCCCAGAAGAAACCCACACATATACAGTCAACATATCTTTGACAAGGCTGCCAAGAGTACACAATGGGGAAAATATAGTTTACTCAACAAATGGTTCTGTGAAAACTGGATATCCACATGAAAAGGAACGAAATTGAACTTCTACCTTACACCATACATGAAAATCAATGCAAAGTGCACTGAAGACTTAAATGTATGACTTGAAACTGTAAAACTCCTAGAAGAAAAGAGGGAAAAATCTTCTTGACAATGATGTCTTGGATATGATACCAAAAGCATAGGCAACAAAGCAAAAGTAGAAAAATAGGACTACATCAAACTAAAATGTTTCAGCACAGCAAAGGAAAGAAACAACAGATTAAAAATGCAATCTATGCAATGGGAGAAAATATTTGCAAACCATATATCCGATAAGGGGTTAATTTCCAAAATATATAAGAAACTTCTATACTCAATAGCAAAAAAACAAATAACTTGATTAAAAATAATGGGCAAAGGACTTGCATAGACATGTACTCAAATAAGTCATATAAATGGCCAACAGGTATATAAAAAAGGACATCACTAATCATCAAGGAAATGCAAATCTAAACCATAATAAAATATCACCTCACTCCTGTTTAGAGAGCTATCTATTATCAAAGAAACAAAAGATAATAAGTATTGGCAGGAATGTGGAGAAACTGGAACCACAGTAAACTGTTGGGAATTAAAATGATTTAGTCATTATGGAAAACATTATGGAGGTTCCTCATAAAATTAAAAATAGAACTAACATATGATCCAGTAACCCACTTCTTGGTATATATCCAAAATAACTGAAATCAGGATCTTGAAGAGATATCAGTACTCTTAGCTTCATTGCAGCATTATTCCCAATAGCCATGATATGGAAACAATCTAAATGTCTGAGGATGGATAAAGGGATAAAGAAAATGTGGTATGTATTTTTGTATACACACACACACACACACACACACACACACACACACACACACACATACAGGAATATTATTCAGCCCTAAAAAGGAAGGGAATTCTGCCATATGTGACAACATGGATGAATCTGGAGGACATTTGCTAATTAAAATAATGGTGTCACAGAAGGACAAATCCTGTATTTGTATGAATATGAAGTATCTAAACTAGTCAAACTCATAGATACAGAGAGCAGAATGGTGATTCTAGAGGCTGGAAGGAGGGAAAAATGGGAAGCTGCTTTTCTATAGCTATAAAGTTCCATTTACACAAGATATGAATAAGTCCTAGAGACTTGTTGTACAACAATGAGCCTATGGCTAACATTACTATATTGTGCCCTTAAAACTTTGTGAAAAGTATAGAGCTCATGGTAAGTGTTTTTGCCACTTAAAAAAAAAAACAAGAAAGGCTGAGGTCTCCCCCAGGAGAAGAAATTTTGCCTCACAGCTTCAGACTTACAAGCCCTATAGATGACAGCTTTGGCCTATGCTCATGAGTTCAAGCCTGCCCATGATCTTTGATTCCTGACTGCCTGGAGTTACTTAGCCAGGCTTCACAATCACATAAGGCAATTCCTTATAATAAATCTCTTAATAATAATGCATCTCCTATTGGTTATGCTTCTCTTGTTGAACCCTGACTGATACAATGAGTTATATTAGATTCTGTATTCTTCAACTGGAGAGTTACTTATGATAAATTATGTTTGAAAAAGCAAGTTACAGAGTAATATGTATTAAAAAAAGCAAGTTGAAAAAGCAAGTTAAAGAAAAAGCAAGTTACAGAGTAATATGTATAATATAATGTATAGTATAATATAATTTTTCTAAATAAAAATAAAGTCTTATGTGTATGTATGTTTATATGAGCTTAAGATTAGTACAGAAAGAGGCACACCTAATTAATACTGATTATCTCACACAGCTTAGGAGCAACAGAAAAGGAAAAAGAGTGCTAAACTTTATTACATTTCCATATGTGTTTAAACATTTATTATGACCATGTATTTATTTTGTAATTAAAAAATAAAAATAAAAAACATAAAAATTATGGTAAATCCATATGACAACCATAAAACATAATAATTAAAATAGTAAATGATTTAGAGAAATGATAATGATATAATTTTTAGTGAAAAATAAGGACATAAAATTATATCTATCCATCAAGAAGTGGCAGAAGTTGAAGGAGACAGATATAAAGATTCAGCCACCCTAGTTTTTTTTTGTTGTTGTTTTTAGACACATAGAAAAAAAAAAGATGGGAAGGAAATATATCAAAATGTTTACAAAAGTTATCTCTGGGTAGTATGTTCATGTGTGATTTTTAGTTTTTTTCTTGTATTTTTTGTGTTTCTTTCCCCAAAATTGCTTACAATGAAAATGATTTACTGTTATAATCAGACCAAAAACCTTAATATTTTTAAAAAGATGAACATAAGCTGTCAGGAAGTAATTTCTGGAAGATTTTATATTGTGTGGGAACCAGAGGGAATGGTATGAATCTTCAAATTGATCTAGGGTTTGCAAAAAGCACACTAAGGCAATTCCTCTAATAGCACTAACAACCTAGACAGGGTCAGAAGTTGCTGGCGCCTGCCATTGGGAGAAGCAGCCAGTAGCATTTCTGTAATGATTCCACATTATGTCCCAAAGCAGTGCCCATAGACTGAAAGCAAATTGACTCCAATGGGACTTAAAGTGAATTATCAATATGCACTCTACCCTAAACCTGAGAAGACTAGGATAAGACTAAGCAGTGTCTTTCTGATTATCCTTCCTTGCCTCTGGACCATTTCAATCGTTAACACTTCAGATAGGAGAATACATTTGCACCAGGACTCAAATGGTAGGCCCATTTTTCTAGAGGCAGTTTCTACCAACTTGAACATACAGGTGTTTTAAGGTATAATTCTCCTCCCTTATAAGTGAGTAAAAACCAGAAATTCTTGTGTCTTCTCATGAAATTTCAATGCCTGGCTGTTTGATATTTTTATGCCAGAAAGGCAGGACGATGAGTAAGAGACCAGATAGTACTTTGTAAACCACAAAGCTAAAGCCTAAATCCCACAGTTGGAAAGCAGCATAAAAAGTATCTCTACCAGCTATATTCCCTTTGGAAAGGAAAACAACTTATTTCAAGCCAAAGAGTATAATTTAGTATGATTCTAAATCGTGCAAGTGGTCATGGTTTTAGACCCTGTTATATTTTCTATAATTTACTTTAAAAGACTTTCATAAAGAGTGCATGATATATACATGCACATTAATTTTAATCTATACTCTAGGGGCATTTAGTTAACATCTAAAATGCCCTAATCTGGAATATACACTCAAGAGGAGCAGTTCAGTCACCTTAATGCAGGAGGCCTAATTAGCCTAATACATGTTAAAAATGAATTTTCACTGATAAAAAAAGAATGCTGTGCAAGATGTGCCCTGGCCACAAAAGTCTTACAGGCACTTTAGCCCTCACAAGAACTAGGTATAAGAATTCAGTGAACCCTACAGCCTATACATACACTTCAGAAGGAAGCCTGAAGTTTAAGATTGAAAATGGGTACTATATTTTGGCCCTTGTCAGAGGATTTTGTCACTAGACTCTGACTAGGAACTTAGCTGAATCCTAGATGTTACCAAATCTGCCTCGACTAACCTAACCTTTTTACAGAAGATGCTGTTTGTTATGTATCTAAGGACAGAGTTGGGACTTCACTGAAAATACAGAACAGGCTCTATGACTGCTTTTGTGTTTGTTTGCTAATAAATTTTTGTATGTTTGGGAGAATCGAGCCTGAGGTTTTATTTCAGTGTAATAATCTTATCTAGTAATGAGAATGTAGGGGAGACCAACCTCTATCACTTAACCTTGACTAATAGAAACTATTGGTATCTACCAAAAATAACCTAATAATAGGGGACCACCAAAGTGGATTAGGTTAGTTTGCAATAAAAATCTTCTCTGCCTCTGAAAAAATGAAAACTAATTTAACTCACTATGTTCTTCATAGCCATATTCTTCTTTCTCCTCTCAGGTCACTTACCGATTTTTTCATCTTCCTGCACCATTTTCCTCTCTTCTCTGAAAGCCCTGAGCCAGCGTATCTTCTCCTCCAACTTCTTGGCAAAGAATAGGTGAATCTCCTCAGTTTCCTTGTTATGAAGCTTGAAGGCATTTTTCATGCTGACATTGAAGTCATCATCTCTGCCATCTTCAATGTCAACTACCTCATATTTATCCATATCAATGCGGCCTTTGTAGTACAGGATGTCTCTCCGGATCAGGTCCTAGGTAGGAAGAAAGAGAAGGCTTTTTGTTGAAGGTATGTGGAGAGTGGGTACCAGGAGACTCGGCACATGGGCGTAGCAGGATGCTAACATTGCCATTGTTCTGGAGTATCAATGAGGGGTGGTTTGGTCTAAATTTGGGCAGGTTAGCTTAGTGTATGACACTAATAGTTGGTTAACTAGATGCTCTTAGAGAAAGCCTCTGGCCTACATCCATAGAGTTTGTCTCAGACCTCAGCCTCGATCCATGTATGTGTTTGCAAGACTGCTGATGGGAAGTAGGAAGCAGTAAGTCACACAAGCACAGTTAGCAAGGGCTTTTCCTCTTTCACAATATTTGGAAGCCTTCCAGAAGTATGAAATGAATTGGTTGGTTGCGTGCAGTATACACAGGAATCCAAGCAAGCCAATGAGACTTACATATCAGAGGGGAGATGAGTGATAATAGTAGCTAGGTGGCCACAGGCTGCTGGCCAGGAAAGATTACTTAGGGAAGGTTGAACATTTAGCACTCTGGGGAGTTTTGGAGAAGGCATAGTCTAGCAGGAGAAATGGGGGGAAAGTGAATATAAAGCTTCATATATTGGCATGAATGAATCTCACAAATCTTATTCTGTGAGAAAAATAAAAGTTGTAGTTGGATACAAATAGTATATTTCCTATCTGTTATGATTTTTGTTTTGTTCTTGGGTACACAGAATTGAATCCCAAATCTCAGTCCATGAGACACTCATCATTACTCAATGCATAGTGCTCTGATTTCTCTATTTATTTACTTACTTACTTTTAATGATGTATTAACTTTCGGTGAACCCACTGCTCATTCCAAAAGCTACGACGCCAAGGCAACCTCCATATTGAATCACATGCTCATCATTCCCCTGGTTTCTTTTCTATATAGCTTTATCTCATCTATATCTATTCCATTTATATAAGGTTTAAAAACATACAAAACAATGCCATCTAATGTTTAGGCATACATACATATGTACAATAATTATGTAAAAATATACAACAATGATACATGCCAAATTCAAGAGAGTACAGAGAGGAGAATGGGGACAAGTGAGAAAGAAGGAAAAGGAAGGGAAGAAAAGAGGGAGAGGATAAAGACTGTATTTGTAATGATTTATTTCTTAAGTTGGATAGTAAGTGTTCATTATATTGTTTTTATATCTTTTTGAATATCAAGAATTTCATAAGTTAAAAAAAGAAAAACAGAGGGGTGGATGAAATGAACTGTGGGTCTGTGGAATGTAAGGTCTGATAAGTAACTGTCTCACAATGGTCTTTCAGCCCCATCTCCTCTCAGCACTGCCCTCAGCTTCCCTTGAAAACACACCTACTGCTGCATGTGATGTGGCTGAGTCTGTCCAAGGAGGGCCCCAGTGAGCCCTGCTCTGACAGATGTCTTCTACTAGTAGCAGGGGCCCTTTCTGGCCAGCTCTCCCTCCTCTCTACTTATATTTGGCCTTCTAGACTATCTGATAGAGTCAGAAATGTTCATTAATTTTTATTACCATTACATGGTCTGGTTAAACTATTCCCATTTTACTGAATTGTCTGACATGCCTCACAGTTCACAGCTGCAGGCTACCTGCAAAGAATTTGCCTTTGGCCACTCACATTCCCAGTCCTAACTCTTCACACTGTATGGTAAACTCCACTTTTCTGTAGGGCTGGGGAAGGCTGTCTTTAAGGATTCCCAGCATAGCTCTATCAATCTCAAAGCCCCAGGCTGGGAAATACAGGTGTTGATAAATTGCTTTGCAAAAAATAACAATCATGGTGTTCTTCTTCCTTTCATAGTGATTATGCATATAAATAGGCTTTCGAGTACAGATGGGTTCTGATCTGTTGGGTAACATTGGCATCAAGTTTATAGGAGAGAGAGTTCTGCTGTATGGAGTGGGACAATGTAGCTCCAAGCTTGTTTCAGAGCCTGGATTCCTTTCACCATGCTCAAAGTGGACAAGCTCAGTCCTGCCAAAATGATGTGGTGGCGCCCATGCACTGACTTCCATAATCCCCAGGAACACTTTGTGAAACATATGCATAAAAAGTAGGCCCTGTCAGGCTAATATAACTACAAAAGCAGAACAAGCTGAGGAGAATGGATCAATGTAAACTACTTTGATCTTGTAAAGTCTTGAAACCTGCCTTACAATACATAATACAAATACACACAGACCTGGACCACACAGCTAATAGGTGGGTGTCCACCTGGCTAGAACATGGGCAGGCTCAACGTCCCTCTATTCCTAACTTCAGCCTGCAGCTTCCTTTCCCTCTGAGTTGGAACGTCATAACCATTGTTAGCCTTCAAAATCTTTACTAGTTTCCAAAAATGGAAAGAATGTATACGATCTTGGAGCTAAATTTAAAGCATCAACTGAAACTCCTATTGTTTCTTTAGGTATTTATCGATAATAAGGAAAGAGAAAGAATTCAATGTTTGTGGCACGGGAGCAGGGCTAGAAGGATGTGTCATTAAAATTCTCCCTTTGCCTGCCCTTTCTGGCTCCCCAGAGCGTTGAATGTGAGTTTTCAGGCATCAGATTAGTCATAAAGCCAAGTGTAGAAATGTGATAGGAATGATTAAGAATGATCCACTGTTCAGAAAATCCAACCAGAAAGGGTAGCTAAGGCCACCAAGCAGCATGGAATGAATGGTGGAAATAACATGAGTTAGAGCCTGAAGTTCTGAGTTTGAATCCTAGCTGCTTAACCTACTAGCTGTGTTGTACTGGGCAAATGAATTAACCTCACTGAGCCTCGATTTCCTCAACTATAAAACTAGGAGAGTCATTCTCACCTTGTAAAATTGTAAAGCTCAAATCTAAACATGCAGTTTCCAGGTCATGAGGCCAGCCTTGTCTGATAAACATGGTGCTGAGCTTTCTTTCTTCTAGATCAGTGTTTCATATCTCTTTAAAACTCCTTTTGATAAATCTAAAAATCCCACTGCCTCCTTTAATTCATTTAAACTTTCAAAATAAGTTAAATATTGTGACTGAAAAAAAAACAAAGCAAAAGTAATTCTGAATATTTTTAAATTTACATAGCTACCCCACCGTCTCTGGAAATTCCATATACCCTTTCAGTGTAGGGGTGGTGGTAGTGGTGGGTGGCAAATACTGTTTGCCACTCACTCACCAAAATCACAGATCTATACTTAGGTTCACACTAACATCCCCTCCCTGCCCCCAAAGAAGCCTCCTATTTCAATCCTTCCAGCCTTCAAGATCAAAGTCATACATTCTTCTTCCTCAAAGCAGCCTTCCCTGATTGCACCATCCAGCTCAAGTTACTATGGTTTTCCTTTTTTGAATGCTAGCACTGACTATGAAGACCCTTATACAATTGGCACTCAGTTACCACACTAGTGAATTTGCATTAGTTCTGTTTTACAGCTTTTAATTTTGTCTGTCCATTCAGGCTGTGCCCAGCACTGAGTCTTCCTTGGTCCTTCCTCACTTAGGAGTTATCCAGGGAAGGACAGCTGATAAAGCTTCAGAGGTTTTTCTGCTCAGCTTCTACACATAACAAGGGGGCAAAGCCCTCCTGAGCCCTAGTTACCTGTGGTACTACTGAGACCAGAATGCCCACATGCCAATTGTTAATGGTGGCCTGAGTGCTTTCAAAGGGACATGGTGAATAGGTGCTCACCACAGATGCTATTTGGGTCATCACAAGTTATCTGCCTAAATGGGATTGTTTCTAATAGGATGGCAGCCTTCCTCCATTTCCTTTCCACTCATCCAAGTTGGAGGAGATTAAGGGAGCTAGTGCTTCTCTAGTAGGGCCCTGGCAGTCTGCAGCCAAGCACTCTGGCCCTGGCCCTGGCCCTAGCCATAGCCCCAGCAAGGAGCCCACCCCCGTCCCTCACATTACATGACTGAAACAGCTGGGAGCTGTTTGAATTTGGCCTCACTGGGTATTCATGGGGTTTAATAAAACACTGCAGGACATTTTATACAAATGACAGATGCTACAATCTGGAGAATGCAACTCTTCAGGATTGCAGCCTGCCTCACTTGCTTGTCAGTAAGGTTCTCCCTAGCTCTTTAGAGGGGGCCCTGGCTACTCACCCCTAGCCTGACAACCTGGTTTTATCTCAGATCCTAGGGAAGGCACATGGTGCTGGGACTGGATTTGTCTTTATCATTATTGTATGCCAGCATCTACAGTACATACTTAATAATAACAAAATAATAACAACAACAATGGCAACAGTGAACACTTAACCAACATACATTATGCGCCAGACATTATTCTAAATGCTTTGCATTTCCCCCCAGCTTTACTGAGGTATAATTGACAAAATTGTATATATTTAAGGAGTAATATGTGATGTTTTGATATACGTATGCATTATGAAATGATCACCACAATCAAGCTAATTAACATATCCATCATCTCACATAGTTACCTTTTTTTTTGTGATGAGAACACTTCAGATCTATTTTCTTAGCAAATTTCAATTATACAATACAGTGTTGCTAACTATAGTCACCATTTGTACATTAGCTCTCCAGAAGTTATTTGTCCTACATAACTGAAAGTTTTTACCCTTTGACCAACATATCCCCATTTCTGCCACCCCCATGAGTCCATGGCAACCACCATTCTACTCTCTACCTTTATGAGTTGGCCTGTTTCACATTCCATATATAAGTGAGATAATACGGTATTTGTCTTTCTGTCTTATTTTACTTAGCATAGTGTCCTCCAGGTTCATCCATGTTGTTGGATATGGCAGGCTTTCCTTAGTTTTTAATGCTGAATAATATTACATTGTGTGTGCGTGTGTGTGTGTATGACATTTTCTTTATGTGTTCATCCATTGGCAGCTACACTTTGCATTTATTAACTTAAATCATTCTCACAACAATCCTACAAGTTAGGTTCTGGTATAACCCGATTTTATGAGGAACTGTGGACATAGAGCAGTTAAGAAACCTGCCGAGGAATAAAAGCTACCATTTATGGCACTGCTG